AAATTAAATTTATTATATATATGAAAATAAGAAAAATTATGTTTTTTTTTTTAAATAATATATGTTAATCGGGGTCGGGGTCGGAGTCGGGGCCGGGAATGGGGATAAGAGGTCGGGGGCGGGAGCGGGTATGGGGGTGGTGGTGAAATTTTAAGCGGGGATGGAGACGCGGATGGGGATGGGAATGGGGAATGAGATCCTAGCCCCGCCCCGCCCCATTGCCATCCCTAATTGCATCTTTCCACATTGTCAAATTTGAAGAAAAAGGTGCCTTCCGAGTTGGCCACAACAAAGATCACCTTAAATGGCATACTGTTCTTGAAAACACCAAGATTTCATATTGGGTGCGCGTAAAGTAACTGATCAAACTTCTTTTGAATTTTCTTATAAGTTTTTCTTGAGGTACAATTGTGTAAACTTAATAAGAATGTTTATTTAGTTTATTTTCTTAAATCCAAATTTTTGAAATTTGAATGAGAATTTAAATGAGGGGGGATAACTTTAACAGGGACAAGGAAAGTGTGATGGGGTTGTTTACTGAACACTTTCCGACAGGTAAATGCTTATTATGACACAGATGATAAACTATTCCATCATAAACCCGCCTTGTTGCCATCTCTATCTCAACGCACAAGACTTCTTCTGTCGTTATAAAAAGAGAATATTAAAAACCCGGATATGTTATTTGGATGTGGTGGTGGACCCCACCACATCCAAGATCTAGGTGGGCTAAGATGACCTTATAAAGTCTAAGCCTAACAACAACAACAAAATAGATAAATAAAATAATTTTTAAAATTCTCTATTAACTTTTTCTTTCTTTAATCTCTCTTTTCTTTTTCCTTTTCCCCTTCCCACATTTGCTCACTCCCTTCGGACACGGAGAAACAGATTCAAAAAAAAGGGATGACATCAATGACTCAATTACAGTATGCGTTAATGGGAAAAAATAATAATTAAATAAAAGAAAAAAGAGGTATTTTGGATCCATTGTCATATTCAATAAACCATAGCGAGAGACTAGGAATTAGAATTATAAAATAGTTCTTACTTTAGAATTATGAAGAATTATTTCTAAAGAGGAGAACAGTGAGTGAGATGGTCTTTGATAAATGTTAAATAGATAGAGCTCAATGTTAGCGATGGACTACACGAACACACGAACTCCAAAATTTTAACAATCCTGCATTCTTTCTACTTTTAACAAAATTTGTTGTGGTTTACATGAAAAGCATGGAGATGATTTCATATACACACACACACACTTTAACTCACGCCTGTTGAGTATTCAAAAGCAATACATTCATGCCTGTTGTGTATTCAATAGCGATGGGGCTTCTGTATTCAACACAGAAGACTATAGTGAAAAGATTTGAACAATCAAAGAAGCTTTAGTGATTTGCTAGAAATAAAACCATATCTAAAAGACTTCAATACCAAATCTTCTACTAACCTAAATATATATATATATATTACATTCAAATACAAGGTATAGAAAGGCACATCAAAGTATCTCACATAAAAAAGTTCATTAGTCTGTTTTTGAGGGGTGACTTGGGTACAGACCATAGTTATTGTACCCAAAATCAGACCCATGTCTGGTATCTTAAGCTAAACATTAAATGACAATCAACTTCCAGGCAAAAAAAAAAAAAAAAAAAAAAAAAAAACCATTTTATAGAATTATAGTCGACTTAATTCTCAAGGTTCGTGTGGGTTGCCGTTCACCATACAAGGAAGGACGTAGCGGTAATAAGGGCGATTACCAAACAATCAGTTAAAAAGCTACAGAAACTGGAAGGCAATTACATGCCTGTCTTGCTTCATAGTTAAGACAATGGCCACTAGGATCAATTACAAATAATCTCAATTCTGCACTAGACCATAACATAGCATTTCAAAGCAGTTTAACATCAGGAACTGAAAGATAATTAGTAATCTCTTTGGTTGATATTTCAAAGATAATCAGTAATCTGATATTTATAAAGAGTACTTAATCTTGGAGAGCTGGTCCCCGTCTTTCCAAAGACCCTTACTAAGCATACAACCTATACTATTATGTGAGTGCGTGGGCGCGTGCGCGCTCTCTCTCTCTCCCATGCACTTAATATGTATAAAATGCTAAGAGTCTTCTTGAGTAAATCCCTCTAAAAAATCTTATTTTAGTTCACACAATCTCCACATACAAAATTCTCTGATCCTAATTTTTGAAGTCTCAACTACAAGACCTACCCTTACACATCACAGTGATTGAGTCAAATTAGAGGACTTTCGGAATGCATCAGTTGACTTTGAAGATCTCTAGAGCACATCCATTTCCCGTGGGTCAAAGTGAGGATTCTTTCTAGGAGCAAAATAAGAAGTCAAAGCCTGTGGAATAGTCATAGACACCCTACTTGAATTTCAATGCAAAAGAGAGAAAACAATGCGAGGGAGGAACAATCTTAGAGCCTGTGGAATAGTGATAGACGAACTACTTGAATTTTAAGGACAAAGAGAGAGAAATCAGAGAAGGGTCAATCTTTATCATTTGAAACAACGAAATTCGAAAATGGAGCCCTGGGAGCCAAATACAAATGAAGTGATGGGACGGAGTGCATAACCTGATAACAGAGGAGATTCATGTACTGCTGCCACTCTTTGCATTCTGAAAATAATGTTCTTTCATCTATGTCTTAAACCCCTTTCCATTCTCTATCTCATGCACCTAATATATATGAATTGCTAAAAGTGTGCAGCATAAAACACTTTTAGCCCTTACTAAATAATCCCTCAAGAAAACTTAAATTGTGTCACACAACCTCGAGTACCAAATTCACTGTTCCTAATTTTAAAGCCTCAAGAGTCGCCTACAAATCTTACACAACATACTAATTCAGGAGTCAAATTTGAGGTTCTTGAAATGCACCAGTTGACTTGAATCTCTCTGGAGCACTGGGTCGAAGTGAGGATTCTTTCTAGGAGCAAAAGAAGTCGGGGCCGTGGATGAGTGACATACACACCACTTGAATTTCAAGTAAAAAGACAGAAAGCAATGCAAAAGAACGGGCAATCTTATCATTTGAAACAACAAAATTAGATAATGGGGCACTGGAAGCTTTGGAAGCCAAATACAAACAAGGGAAGAAGAGCTAGTGGATAATACTTTGTAAAGACTCTTCCCAACTCCATTTCTGCTTCCCACTCGTACTCCTTCCCCTTCTCCCTTTCCATTCCTACCCTTAATTTAGAGTATAAACAACAATCAAGCCGATCAGAACAATTCCATTAAAATTGTAACTACTGGATTGATTTGATAGAACCACATAAACCCAATCAATCTAAACCGTATAAAGCTAGTTTGGATACGAGTAATTTTGATGACTCAGATTTTTTAAAATACAAAACCAATAATAAAGTGAACAAGGTTCGGTTTGATGCACGAGAATCAAAGCAAACACATGATTTTGTACAATAGTAACTCTCTTTCACTTGATTTATATATCTATTGAGAATGAGTTTAACTTTGTGGAAAAGAAGAAGGTGACAACAATTGGAGAATAAGTGTGAACTTAATTACAAATAAAGACTTTCAAACTTTCAAAAGTTCATTATAGGGTTCAATGTGTATATTCAACAGATGAAACACAATATACACAGTAACATGAAATCAGGATAACGCACAAAACAAACAGAGATTTGAAAAGATTCAACTCACTTAAAAAGTTGAATGGATAAGCAGTTAACAAATCAAGCTAGATAAATTCAAAGGAATAAGAATTGGAGAATATCAACTAAATGGAAAAGAAAAAGGAATGAAAATAAAAATAAAGTTCGGTTCAAAATTGATCATTTTTTTGCTTCCCAACCCATTAATTGAAATGATCCTAATGCTTTCACAGACCAAATTATGAATTGAAAATTAAACCAAACCCATTGTGCGTCCTACCTCCATTCTTCCATCAACCGAACACACAATACGAAGCAAAAATAATTGTTAGACCTTCTTTGAAGTCCCTCAAATGTGCCATGGAAGTGGGGAGACATGCAACTTTGGTACATCACTTGTCAGCATCATTTTTATAAATACATCAAAATGGGTGATCAGAACATGCTTTCAGCATGAAACTGAAATGGAATCAATCTCAAATCACAATATGACCAACTAAACAATCGACTCCCAATTTGAGGTTAAGTCTATAGCAAGATATACCAATTATAACTTCTCAAGTAGGAATGATAACTCTTCTTTCAATTTCAAATCACAAGAAGACCAACTAAACAAACGAATTAGGATTTGGGGTTAAGTCTATAGCGAGATATACCAATTACAACTTCTCAAGTAGGGATTCTAACTCTTCTTATCACCACAAATATTAGTTTTGCATATTATAGGCAGGGTGTGATGAGATCCCTCCCAAGGCTTCCATGGTGGTCAAACCTTTGACAAGTATGTGAATTTTTAACCTATGTGGCAATAGTGTCCATGTTCAATAGAGAAGGTTTCAAGAGGAGAATCAGTTGTAAGATATTTGTTCTCTTCGCTAGCCCGTATGACACTATCAATTGGACCAGTGGCAGTTACCATTAACAAAAAGAATTAAAATCCTCTCTTTAAAGTAAATGATCAGAATACCTTCTTCCACAAAGTTTAAAAGCAAAAAGGGAAAAAATCGACAAACAATCACATGTGGGATAGAAAATTATGAACCCAACCTGTCATGGAATACGGACCACAAGCTAAGGACCTAAGAAAAGACAGCCATATGTTACTATTATTGGGTGGCTTTAAGCAACGAAAGCTCTAACGTTTCCAAATAATGGAACAAAAGAGATTCCGAACCCATCTGCACTTCCCAAAAATATGAGTAAGAAAAAGAAACCCTAAAACACCATCCTCATCATATGCAAGGCAACAAAAATAAAAAATAAACAGAGCATGTTTTATGTTATATACAAAATTCCCTGAAAACCATAGCAAACTTCCATTGATTAAAATAATATTAAGAGAAGCCAAAAAGTAATTAAAAAAACTCCAATTCATTAAGATCAGGTCAATATGTATGCATATATATATATATATATATATATATATATATATATGAAGATAGAGATAGCATACCCACAACATTATGTAAATTGCCTTCTTTGGACTCCCCCCCACACAAAAATAAAGACACACCAACAAAATTCCAAATATTTCTTGCCAATAAAGCATATATCCCAAACCTAAGAAAGCCAATAGCTAAACCATACTTCAGAGGAGGCCATATAACGACAATACTACTAATATTATTCAAGATTGATAAATTCTAAGGCGGTAAACCTAAATGCAGAAGAGAGGGAGTAAAACGTGAAAATACACATTTACCCTTCCTTTTCAATCCATTTCAGCGAGCAGAGTTGGGGCAATCTCGGGAAAAATGCCCTTGCTCCCCACAGTTGTAACAACCGCCACCCCCACCACCTCCGCCGCCACTGCCATACCTTCCACCACCGCCTCCACCGCCATACCTTCCACCACCGCCTCCACCGCCCTGATAACTTCCACCTCCGCCTCCACCGCCCTGATAACAGTCCCTCGCCATATGCCCCGCCTCCCCACACTTGTAACAATTGTTACCTCCACCTCCGCCACCATAACCACCACCTCCGCTACCACCGTAACCCCCACCTCCATACCCACCGCTGCCACCATAACTCCCACCTCCATAGCCACCGCCGTCGCCGTAACTCCCACCACCGTAACCCCCACCCCCACCGCCACGACTGCCATAACTACCGCCATAACCGCCACTTCGACCGCCACCGCCACTTCGACCCTCACTGAAGCCATACCCACCACCGCCTCCGCCTCTTCCGCCGCCGCCGCCGCCACGGGTAGTACCCTGAACCGGCCCCTCGTTTGGGCCAGTGACATCGACCGCTTTGATACGGCCGTCACCACCATACTCGACCAAGAATTCTACCGCCTCACCATCCCCGAGACTGCGAAAGCCCTCAGATCTGATCGAGGACTGGTGGACGAAGAGATCTTCGCCGCCATCGTTCGGAGTGATGAACCCAAAGCCCTTCTGATCATTGAACCATTTGACCACACCCTTCACTCTGCTGTGCTCTCCTACCTCGTCCATTCGATCAGATTCCAATAAACCCTAACCCTAAAAGAAAAGCAAACCAAGCGAGAATGACCCCTAATCTCTCTGAATATATAGGAGGCAAGATTGGCATCTCTAAATTACATTTACACCCCTCCGGTTTACATTTTATTGCACACATAATAGAACAAATACTCGTATATATTAAAAAATATATTTTTTTATATATTAAATTACTATATTACTCATTGTGTTTGTGTATATATATACACTAGTAAAAGTGTATTTTTGGGACGTAACTGAAATTTGATTTATAATTTATTTATAAATTAATTTTTAGAATTTTAGTAATTTAATAAACAAATTATATTTAATTTATTAATTATTTGTAAGATAATAATTTTTACATAATTAAACAACAATATATATATATATATATATATATATATATATATATATATATATATAATTTGGATTAAAAAAATCTGGGCTTAGTAAAAAAAATGGCATGATGAGGAGAGATAATATGAGTCATATTTCGCTTTTCTGATTTTCCCTTTTTTTAAATGAGAGGAATTTTAAGAGAAGCAAGGAACTAAGACCTAAAACAATTTAAATTGAGATTATTTATGCCACGTATTGAATCTTTTATATATTTTATTCGGTAAATAAATATTCTTGATATTCCATAATCTAACTATTTATAGAATTTATTAAATAGGGGTTTTTCAAAAAACAAAAAATAAATAAATAAAAAATAGGGAGAAACTAATATTTTTTATAAGTAAATATTTTAAGAATAATGCGTACATCCTGCGCAGGGAGGATGTACTTCATCATCCTTGCTCACGTGGCCCTCTCCCTTGTTGACACTTGTCCAAAATAAATAAATATATATATATATAGGTAATGCTCATTTATCCAGGTTAAACCTGTGTCTCGTAATCACTCATCTCTCTCTCTTTCTCTCAACTATACAACTTAATTGGAAACTCAATCCTTCACTTCGCTTTCAATTCGCCGCAAGGCATAATCTTCCTATCTCTCTCTCCATCGTAGAGAGAGATGTAAAAGTTTTAATCCCACAAGACACAAAGTTGGTACATAGTCCTTCAATTCGAAAACCCTAGATCTGACTCTCTCTCTTTAAAAATGTTCGGAAGAGACAAAGGCGGATAGGGCTTAGGCAAGGGAGGTGCCAAGCGTCATCGGAAAGTTCTCCGGGACAACATCCAGGGCATTATGAAGGACCATTTATCCTCAAAAAGAGTGATTGAGCAACTGCTGCCAAAGAAAGATTTTATCCTTGGCAGTATTAGCAACATAAATTCCAGTGAAATAAAAGGTCAGATGATCCAATTGCTTAGTCAATGTTCAACTTTTAGAGCTTTCTAGAAAAGAAGACTTCCATGACTGATCTACTCTCTTAGGACTTGAGACTCCTACAGAAAAAGGAGGATCAGCACGTGAAAATGGGTAACCTTCAAAGCAGAACCATACATATCTTGCTATTAGACTTTGATCTTACCTCAGCCTTGAGGCTACCTATAAATATATTTTGTTAAAAACTTTCTCGGATTGAGCTTACAGGTCGAATCCTTGCTTCGAGAAATTCGAAGGCTTCGTATTGATCTATATGATTCTCCGTCTATTCTTTGATGAGCAGGAAACAGATCAAGCTACAGGGTAGGACTCTGTATGGATTCGGTGGTTGATTATCAGTTATAATTTTGGGGTTTTTAGAAGTAAGTTATTTTTGCAACTGGTGGTTTTAGAAGTTAGCAATATTAGTTGTTTTGAATTACTGTAATTGAGATTTTGTCATAGGATTGCAAATATCTGGTTTTTAATGAAATTGCCATGTTTTTACCTCCAATTGTGGTTTCAGTTCAATTTTTATTAAAATCCCAATCTCTGTTGATTTGATTTTGAGTTGAGCTTGCTTCGTTTTATTTAAAGTGGTTGATGTGTTGGGATTTGTTTCATAAAACGCAAGAGCTTCTTCATTGTGTTTGTAGTTATATCTAAACTGTTGGACTTGTAGTTTTGAATTAAGTGATCCTGTAAGTACATGTGAATGTTTTGTGGAAGTATTTGCAATGAAGCTCTTGTGTGAAAAGTAAAATGAATCAATTTTGGACATATACCAATATGTATTTGTTCTTGTACATTGCTTGATTATTATATCAATAGTTGTAATTCAGTGAAAGCTCTAAGTGATTAAAAACATACAGAACTATAATACTCCTAGTACTTTATTTCCATTTTTTTTTTCATTTTTGGCAATATTTCCATTCATTTACTTTATAATTTAGAATTTTAATCAAAATATGATACAAAATATTCAATCCATAGCATCCCAAAAATTCCACCAAACATGCCTCAGATTATCTAACAAGTTTTTTTTTAGTTATAAAAACAAAAAGTAACACAATCCCTGGCATGCCCCAAAACTTCACCAAACAGGCATCATATTGAGTAACACGATTCAATAACTAACTATAACAACAAAAAGTAACAATCCCAGCTTCCCAAAAGCTCCACCAAACAGGCCTCAGATTGAATAAGAAGGAGGAAAATTTTCAAATTGGTTACCTTCTTGTACAGTTTGTGAGAGGTTACCATAATGCGACTTCTACAAGTATTGAAAAACTATAATTATTAGAAAGTTAAAATAAATAAATGTACATCATTAATTTGTAACATTATCAATTGTTTTGTTAGGATAATATAATTACCTGAAGTAATTGTGTGTAAAACATATTGGGTTGCCAATTTGTGATTGCCTCAAAAATTTCATGACTGTAGTTCATCATTGAATAAGTTTTGGAAGACGTCTCTACTCTAAGGCCAATTTGAGATTCCTTTCAAATAAGTAATAATTACAAAATCGTAAAATAAAACATAAGCCAAGGTAAAGAAACATGACACAAAAAGAAATGAATTACCTGGGTAAACATATCATGTCTAGCTTGTTGCTCTTGTGAGCTCCAACTACTAAAAATGGGCTCCTATAATATCCACTGAAAATAAAAAAAAAGTAAGTACAACACTGATCACACTTTAATTTATTTACAAAGTTTAAATTATTTATAAAGTTTTATAAAATGCCTCAGAGGCCTTTTGTGTTTGTTGTCTTGTTGAATTTTTGGCATATGAGTTTTTTCTTCGTTTTTCAAGTGCACATTTTAATCGATTACGTGGACGCCTGACTGTAACTTTTCTTTTAACTCCTATTAGCACACAATTCTTTAGTGGAGCTATCGTATCAACTTCCTCATTTTGACCAACTAAACTTTTGCCACCACTTACATTATTTGAGTAAAGTTCTTTCTTCAATTCCTCCAAGTCATTAAGCAACACAAGAGCACGATCATTTGCATATGCATATAACTTCTCATGTTCTGATGCTAAAGATGAAATCTGATAAGCGCTGAAAAGTGTGCATTTAAAACCCTTAATCTTGAATATTCTAGGACCTTATTCTATCTTATTTTCCCATTTCGGTCTAATTTCATGTTATTTCCCTTTTCAGGCATTTATCCCCAAAATAAGTCAATTCAACTGAATTAGAGCATTAAAAGAAGCAATCTCAAGTTTAGTGGAAGCAAAGTGGTGAAAAATTCCTCTACGATCGATCGGACCACGCTATGATCTGTGATCGTTCCAACCCTGCTATGATGGATCGAGCCATTTGTCCTTATCCTCAATAAAATTTCCTATTCGATCGATCCAACCTTTTATCTGATCGATCGAACCTTTTTAATCTTATCCTCACCAACCATTTTTGTCATTTTCCCAAAAATATCTCAGCATTGTCTTTTCCAAAAAGTGCACCGCTGTACTTTGATCGATTAGCGCAACCATGTGATCGATCGAACTGCCTCAAATTATGTGCAAAATAGATTTCAAGCTGAATTGAAGGTGTGCTCGTGGTAAAATCTTTTGGAGGTCCTAGTGCACGAGGTCTGATCATTGGGTGTAACATTTGAGCTACCTATATAAGGAATTTGGTCATTTTTTAGTGAGAGGTTGGTTAGTTAGAGAGAGAATTGGTTAGAGATTAGAGGGAGAAACATACATTTTGGGAAAGTTCTTTCACTCATCTAGGGTTTCCACAAAGAACACCAAGGGAGGAGGATGAATTCTACCATGGAGATAGCCCTTGAAGATGGATGACAACATCAATGAGTGGCTAAACCATTCTCTTGGGGCTAGAGATAGCCCTAAGCATGTCTCCTAGACTTTAATGTTTTGTAATTAATGGGGATTTGTGTTGTAATTTTTGTTTTGACCTCTTACATATATAAATCTTATTTCTACATGATTTGTGTAGTTTAATGCTTTCAATTGATCATTTAATTCTATCCATGTGTCTATGTATGCTAGGATGAATGTTCATGTGTTTTTCTCTAGATTTTGTGACATTGATGCATGTCTATGTGTGGTGATATTATGAATCTAGTGATGGTTAAGGCATAGTGCTTAAATGGATTACTCTTGTGGTTTATTTGATGGTTCATACTTATTTCTTGATGGATTGTGCCACCTCCTTCGTTTAATTAGTTTACTTTTCATGTCATTAGCATAATTGTAGTGTAATTGCTTTAATTTCCTAGATAGGTGGACAATCCATTTTTTTTGTTTGATATTTCATGCTTATAAGTACAAGTTATATATTTTCTAGTTTCTTGAGTGTGCATTAATTGTGGGCTTATAGAAGGATTAATGGCTTAATTTGATATGTTGTGCTATTCACTAGATTGATTAGACAATGTATGGTTACTTGGCCATTCATGTTTAATATTTCAATTAATGGCACACACTTTCTTTTACAACACATAATCCCCCTAATCTATCAAATATTGAATGTCTAGGAAGACAATGCTTAGTGGTGAACTCTATATCCTAAGAATCCTGTCTCATTCTCTACACCTCATTTGTTTAGTTGTTTTACATTGCATTATTTTAGCTTAAATTGTAGTATAATTCAACCAACAAACCTCTCTTTTGATCATTCGACCTGCTAATCCAACATTGATTCCAAAATACCCTTCCATTCCTTTGGGACGATCCCTACTCACTCTTGCTACATTAGTAGTTAGTAGTGGTAGTGACATTCTATAAATTTAAACTTGGCC